GTACCCAATGTTTACTTACTACTCCCCTGGCCTCGGCAATGTCCTGTGTACTCAATGTTTACTTACTATTCCCCTGGCCTCGGCAATGTCCTGTGTACTCAATGTTTACTTGCTATTCCCCTGGCCTCGGCAATGTCCTGTATACTCACTGTTTACTTACTATTCCCCTGGCCTCGGCTATGTCCTGTGTAGTCACTGTTTACTTGCTATTCTCCTGGCCTCGGCAATGTCCTGCGTACTCACTGTTTACTTACTATTCCCCTGGCCTCGGCAATGTCCTGTGTACTCACTGTTTACTTACTATTCCCCTGGCCTCGGCAATGTCCTGTGTACTCAATGTTTACTTGCTATTCCCCTGGCCTCGGCAATGTCCTGTGTACTGAATGTTTACTTACTATTCTCCTGGCCTCGGCAATGTCCTGTGTACTCAATGTTTACTTGCTATTCCCCTGGCCTCGGCAATGCCCTGTGTAGACACTGTTTACTTATCATTTCCGTGGCCTCGGCAATGTCCTGTGCACTCAATGTTTACTTACTATTCCCCTGGCCTCGGCAATGTCCTGTGTACTCACTGTTTACTTGCTATTCCCCTGGCCTCGGCAATGTCCTGTGTAGTCACTGTTTACTTACTATTCCCCTGGCCTCGGCAATGTCCTGTGTACTCAATGTTTACTTACTATTCCCCTGGCCTCGGCAATGTCCTGTGTACTCAATGTTTACTTGCTATTCCCCTGGCGATAACACATAAGTTGTTGAGGGTAATCTGTCTCTATTTATTATTTTTAGTCTTCGTAATTTAATTTTCATTTAATGACACATCATCAATACCAGAAGTTTATTGGGATTTATATTTTGCTTGCAAAGGTAAGTGCATGTTTTTTTCCCATAGTACCTCACTGAAAAGATGCAAAACGTGGAAGAAGAAAAGAGGAGTGTAGTGCTAGGTGGCTTTCTGCAAATTTTACATTTGAAAGGATTCTCAGCTTTAAGAACCCTCTCCGAAATTAGTCACTTTTTAACTCTTTGTAGAACGCTTTAAGGAGGCTCCATGGGGTTTTCTGACCACGCAAGATCTGGGTACGAAAAAAAGGTGCGAGTTTTAAAATTCCTTTAAAATTCCTTTAATTTTTCTGAAAACCATGTGATCACCCCTAACATCCACCGCGCCCTCCCTCTCCCCCAATTTTCTTTAAACCATGTAATCCCCACCCCTTTGCACCCTCCCCCCCCCCCATTTTTCTAAAAACCACGTGATCACCCCCAATATCCTTTGCCTCTTTCGCGCCACCCCTTCCCCCAGTTTTCTGAAGACCATGTGATCAATATCCACCGCCCCTTTTGCTCCCCCCCTGCGATAAATAATGACTGGTCCCTCATGATCCTCGTAAGTGGCTCCGCTAGGCATGCGTAGCAATCTGAAACTCTCAATTGCTGTTATTGCAGCCCACCAGCGAGAATCATTTCTTCACTTGAATTTCTTCCGATGGTCAAAAGGAAATTTTTTCCTGTAGGGAATAGGTGAGTTTAGTTTCATCAGTTAGGGTCAGTTTACATACGGGACTCCTAGTTATAAGAACTGAAATAAATGCAGGCCAGGTTTCGTTTTCTCCAGCTTCAGTGCGAGAACGTTTTCCCAACCCCTTCTTTCCCAAGACAGGTCATTCGTGTGGGGTATCATCGGGCTCACATGGCGCGTTTGCCCTCACCTTTGCTGCACATAAATCGCGATTCTAGATAGTGTATTTAAGTTGAGTTTTTACCAAATATCGGCCACGATTGTGAGCAAAAAATGACAAAATCTCGATATCATTTTCCTAACTTATTCCCAGCAAACAGAGCAAGGCCTTGGCAATGCGCTCTACGAGTTTAAGTAAACGAGCAAGAAGCAAAAAACTATATATTTTTCCAATATGAAACTTGAAGTTCTACGTTGTTCACCTGGAAAAGGCCTGGGTTTTAATCTGAGTCAATCGTATCAGATTTCCCGTTTGTCTCTAGTGTAAGAGCCACTTAAATAAACATAAATTACATCTGGACAATTACTCATGATAATTGCCTTGCCGTGCGTCAACGCCATGATAAGTCACGTAAAACGAGAATGTCTCTATACTGAACGAAAGAAGAATACATACGTAGCCGATAAAGTGTTTCCGAGTTTAGTAAACGAGCGAAACGCAAAAAGCTATATATTTTTCCAATATGAAACTTGAAGTTTGTCGTTCACCTGGTGCTGCATTTGACTTAGAAATCGGAAAAGGCCTGGGTTTTAATCTGGGTTAATCAGATTCCCTGTTTGTCTCTAGAGCAAGAGCCACTTAAATACAAATAAATTACATCTAGACAATTACTCGTGATAATTGCATTGCCATGTGTCAACGTAAAGCTATGATAAGTCACGTAAAACGAGAATGTGTCCATACTGAACGAAAGAAGAATACATACGTAGCCGACAAAGTGTTTCCGAACAACTGAGAAAAGCTTCCGAAGTACAAAAAAGTACTTTGGAATATTCTTAGTTCCGCCGTGGCTCTAGAGAGAAAACTGTATTAAATCATGTGATCAACTGAGTTATTTTGAGCACCGCATGTGATCAATTCAATATTCGAGAGGCCGGCGCGGCCGCTTTCTTCCTTGTTTCATTGAACTGCATGGAGTTTGCACTTTGGCCGAGCGGAAGACGTATTTGATTGGCTTCAAAAAGTAAGTCCTCCTCAAACCGATAGATATGCGAACTACCCAGAACCTCCGTCTACGTATTCTGTAGTTGGCTCGCTGCTTTTGCAATGATATATTCGAAAAGGCGATTCGAACACAATTTCGACTCGAAATATCGAGGATCGTTTCCAACTTGGGTCGTTTAATTCGAATCTATACTACCATTTTTACCACGAACGAAGTATGAAAATTTAGAGGCAGTACTAGTTTTCATGTTCCAAACTATAGCGCCTATTACCAAAATCCTGCAACATGACGGTAAACTTCGTGGATGACTTGGATCACCTCGTTTCACGGTTACGTGATTATTATGGCTAAACTTTGACGACAAATTTGCTTTATGTAAATACTTTCACGTTCGGTCAAAACCAGCAAAACACTGATTTGTAAATGAGAATAATTGCCTCTTATCAGATAAATTTAGACACCTCCATAAATACTCATTTAGATTTTGTCTAGTGATAGCATGTTGCAACAAATCCGCAGTTTAAACGACCCGCTGTATACTGAGATGTTTTCAAAGTTTTCAGCTGAGGTGCCTAAGGGTAGCGGTTTGTGTCAGGAGTATATCTCTCTTTGAGGGCTAACTATCTTTAAGTTTATGCTAAGGCTGTGCCAAGGACGTTAAGTTGTTCAACGTTTTCAGCTGAGGTGCCTAAGGGTAGCGGTTTGTGTCAGGAGTATATCTCTCTTTGAGAGCTAACGATCTTTAAGTTTATGCTAAGGCTGTGCCAATGCGAACTTCCACCCGCTTGAAGTAAAATTTGTTAAATATTGTGACCTACACCGTCTCAAAATGTATTCATACCAACTGTTGCGCGCATTCATCGTAGATGGTTTTACTACAAAAACTAATTTTACTCCTCTCATTGGTAAGTGACGCAAAACAGATCACTTCTCGGTTCTGTACACGCTCGAATAAAGATGCTAAAACTGTAGCCATATTATCGAATAATGAGTTACACATGACTCTTTACAAGAGGGATACTTATGACTTAAACACAGTAAATTTATTTTATACCTGTACATGTACAAATTTAATTATCATTGATGAGAAGCACAAGCGTCACATCTGCGTGACACAGGTACAATTCAAAGCGTTTTTCCGTCTCGCTTGTCTGGCTCCAACAAAGACTTAATTCACGTGATTCAAGGGTGAAGTCCATGCACACGTGAGGCACAAATACTCCACGTGAAACAAGCACACGTCACTGTGTGATGATTGATGTTCTCACAGCTTCTCAAGAAAAAAATTGCGAAATAATATCAGGCGGTTTAGAAATAGATTAATACCCAAGTGACGTCGCGTTAGCCTGTTACTCGTCTTAAAACTCGAATTATATCAGAAATGCAATTTCATCGACAATTTGTCTATGCCTCAATTGACATAATGATATCATTTGTATGCTATTATCATACTTCCAGACAGATTGCATTTCAAGGTTAGAGCTGGTGACAAATCGAAACATGGGGGTAAGCTATACAATTAGCATTTATCTGCCAAATATTCAGAGCTTTTACTCAAAACATCCTTCTTTCTTTTTAAATGATACTTTGAAACTCTAACATTAGAAAGTTTTAGCCTTAAAATATAGGTCTTGCCAAGATGCGAGTTCCCAATAGGGTCAGCTAGAAACCATACAGGCTTAAAATGGAGTAGAAGTTTGAATGATGGATAGCTCTTTTCTCTTTTCACTGGATGAATTGTCATTCGGCCAAAGTTGTCGAGAAACAGATTTCATTAAAAGGATGGGTTTAATCACCTGCTTTCGACAAGTCGGTCCCGGCGTTCTTAAGATATAATGTTACTTGATTTCACTTAGATTTGCGGTTCCCGTGCCAGGCCTACCAACTATGCGTACGTCACTAGCAGGGATAGTTACGAAGGGGAGGCACAAGAGAGAAACGTTCCACGACTGGATGATAAGCCAACGCAACAAGGACAGAATGAAGGAGGAGAAAATAACCACAATGAAGGCGAACAACAAGCAGGGAAAGAAATAGACCAAGGGGAGGCGAGAAGGAGAGAGGAAGAGTTAAAACAGTTGCAGCTTGAGGGCAACCTTTACCGAAAAAAATTGGTTGGTTATAAATTCGGAGTGAACACTGGACAAAATAAGAACCTGTTTACCAATATCACCCAATTAAGGATCGGGGTATTTGGCCCCACGGCTTCGGGAAAGACCAGCTTCGTCAACACGTGCGAGAGAGCTTTAAGGGAAACCGAAGAAGGACATGCGTTAGAAAGTACTCCTGGAGATGAGTGGACCACTAGACCCCAGGACTACCTGCCAGAAATGTTCTTCCACTTGGTTGACACAATAGGTTTCTCCAATTTTGATTTTAATGAATTTGCTGAGTTTAAGAACATCTTGAATGGAAAAATACAACCTGGTGATGCTATCGCCCATCCTTCTGATCGACAGATCTATCTACAGAAGTTAACGAGATTCCCATTGTTTGAGAAACGAGTTCATGGAGTCATTATTGTTGTTAAGGCAAATGACCCTCGGCTAACTAATGGAGAATTTAAAGAATACCTGCAGCCAGTTAGAGATATACTTCAAAATAGAGGTAATTTCCTACCAATTTTTCTAACCGAGATTTTTCCACCTTGTTCATTAACGTTTTATTCCAAGACAGGTCGTCTTTCCTCGATGACTGCCGATCCAATTTCTCGATCAAAATCGTATTAATCCTATAAACTCTAGAGAAATATTTTGAGATTGCACTAGTTGGTACGCGAAAGGGGAAACAAGGGTTACATTTTTCTTTGTTTGTTTGTTTTTTTTTCACACAAGGAATGACACCTACCACAGTCGTCACGCATTGTGACACACTGCGGACAGAAGAGAATAGTATGACCGCCCTCAACGAAGCTTCAGAAGCTGTAGGAAGTTCTCCCAGTAGCACATACTTGATCAGGAACTATACCAAAGAAAACAGGACACGTGACCTTGAAATTGAGCTTATGGCACTTAAGATTCTGCACAGTGCAGTGATAGGAGCTGAGAGGGCAGTCGCAAAGATCGTAACAGGGACAGGTTTGTTGAGCAATTGTCTGGTTGATAGATTGGGAGACTGACTAATTCACTGAGTGACTGATTGACTAATTAACTTGCTAGTTTTATTTAACATCTTTCCTCTGTAGATGGCTTATGCTTGTGTTCGATTCTTGGGCTTACAATGCATACGCAAGTGTAAACACTAATCATCCGAATTTCTGCCCTGTATCTATCTTTTATTCCTTTCAAACTATTTAATTTCTCCTTAGTACCTCGAGAGATTCTTCAACGTGCACCGATGGCGTTTGAAGCTCACGATAAAGCCCACAGTGAGGGATCCACTGTCGTTAAAAGAGTTCCCATCATATTCATTGGACAGCACCGTTCTGGAAAAACTAGCGTTAAGAACTCACTCAGGGGCCAACCTTTCAAGGTAAATGAAGATAGCATTGCTGGGAAAGATGAAAATTCCTCTTCGTTCAAAATGTCTCGTGAGATTTGGAAGGTGGGAGAGAAGGACAAAGACGCTAATTATGATTCAGCATTCTCTTTTGAGCATCATCTTGCGCGATCCACCGTTCAATATTTGAGATACAGAACAATTGAATTGGAGCCACGTGGAGCCATTTCCTCAGAAAGCTCAAACCCAAAACACATCAGCAACAGCCCAGAATCTAAATTTACTGCTTCTGATGTGACTCACGCAGAAATTCATGACCCTGATATGACAACCGAGATGCCGAAAGATCATCAGCCCGGTGAAAAGCCGGAATCTTCAGAGAATTTCACAAATACGGCACATGGTGTCAGCGACGATTCAAAGTCAGAAGAATTTCTACGCTCCTTGACGGAAGTTTTGCTGCAAATGGAAGTGGAGGAAGAAGATTTATATTCTATGCTGTGGGAATTTAATGGAGAGTCAATTAACCATACAACATATCCAGTTTTTCTGACTCACAAAGCAGTCTACATATTGGTTTACGATCTTAGCCAGAATGCAACAGCGATCGCCAAACCCGTCATAAAGCAAGGGCGGTACAGAGAGAGAGAAGACAGCCACTTCTCAAAAACAAATTTAGATTACCTCAAGTTTTTGATGTCTTCTGTTGCCTCCTCAGCCAGCCAACATGAAAATAATCCATCAAATTCTATATCAGAAGTACTACCGGAAAAGCTACCCCCAGTACTCTTGGTGTTCACTCATGCAGACACGCTTGGGGACGATGTTGACGCTAGAAAAATTGTAAGAGACGTTTATGGGTCCTTAAAGCAGACGCCGAGTGGAGTCCACTTGTACAAAGATTTCTTTGTCGTTGATACTACAAAATCTGGTCAAGAGTTTGAGTGTTCGGAGATCGTGCGCTTGCGAAAGGAGGTACTTGCTGTATGCAGTGAATTGCCACAGCTGAGAGAAACTATTCCAATCCAGTCGTTAATATTCGAAAAAGCAATCCAGAAGAAGAAAGAAGAGGGTCACAAATTTGTTTCCCTCGAGGATGCCAGACTACTTGCGTTCGAAGAATGTAACATTAGTGACGAAAAACAGTTCCAGAGAGCAATCACCTTTTTGCATGACCAAAGAATATTAATTCACTTTGATGAGACTCCGGAGCTGAATAGATTAGTTATCTTGGATTTTGAGTGGTTACTCAACGTGTTCAAGGGAGTAATGTCAGTCAAGTTATATGAAGGGTCAGAGAACATTTTTGAACATCTATGGCGAAAGCTTGAGACGGAAGGAATCCTGGAGGAAAATCTCCTAGAATATGTCTGGGGCCCACTGCATGACAAGCAAAACACTTACGAGAGTCTTCTCGCAGTTATGGAGAAGTTCAGCTTGATTTGCCCTTTGCCCTCGCTTGATCATTCTTGTGGTAAGATGTATCTTGTGCCATCCATGTTAATGTCTTATCCCACAGAGGGTATTACAAGTCTTGTTGCAGCTGCACGAATTCCTCCTATTTTTCTCACATTTGAGTCTGGTCAAGTTCCCTCTGGTTTGTTTCTCCGAATTGCCTTGCAATTGGTTCAGTGGAACAGAAAAAACAATCCAAACTCAGCAAACTTCAACTTTTATAGTAATTATGCCAGATTCTATCCATCAGTAAAGGAGAAATGCTCTGTGATCCTCCGGTGTTATTCGTCTTACATTGAAGTTGTTGTACATGGAAATAATCGCAATCATGAGTCGGAGGATGGTTCACGCTCAGAGTTGGATTTGCGGGGACAGGAGTCCTTCGATGAAAATTGTGCTCGAGCAGTGCGCAGGCAGCTGGATATGATAGTTAATTCCATGCATTCCAAGTTCTTCTGGCCAAAGAACACGACGTACAGAGTTAGCTTCATGTGCCCAGTTTGTTGCCAGAACGGTGGAATAGTTAAACAATGTAAATTTCACCTTGAACAAGGTTGCAAGCAAGAGGAGTGCTTGCATTTTTTATCTGAGTCTGAAATTTGTAGTGCAGACATCATTTACTGTACCAGGAATGCTGTGGCACAGGAAATAAGTGTTCGAAAAGAGCAGTTTGAGCCCTGGATTAAGACCATATCACAACAGGTATGCTATTTACGTTAGCTATGAAGATTGTCATTCGTCGAAAAATTATACTTTTACCGACTCGTTCAATTTTAATTATGAGTTAAATTGTATCATCTCCAGACTGTCACGGAATAATTAGAAGAGTACTTGAGCTGAAACTTCTAAAATCCGAAGATAAATCAATTTAAATTTTAATAACCATTATCTTGATCCACAGGAAACAAGTGAAGAACTAGTTGAGGCACAAGTTTCTTTAGAACAAGAAGGTAGTAACAGCTTATGTTTGTTTTCTCCCGCTTTAGATCATTATCCGTCGTCTCTGCTCTTTCTATTCGCAGCTTGAAAGGTTTTCCCAGACCTTAAAGGTCAAAGCATTACTCCAACCCTAAGTTCAAGGCTCCTTACCAATATAACTCACTTTTTCCAAATCGCCCTGAAAACTAGGAGAAGAAATAGTTCCCCAAGACCTTCCTCCTGAGATTCGAGACTTCCTTGCATTACCGTTACGTGATACCCGGGGCGTATATTTGAAAGATCTTGGTGAAATCAAAGTAATTTTGATGACGGACCCAGCTTTCCCTAGACGTTCAGATCCAAAGACAAAGAAAAGGATCCGTTCGCTAGCAAGGGAGTCTGTAGCGAAAAAGCGGCACGACGTGTTAAAACATCTAAGAAAAATTACACCAGCTGGATCTACTGGTGAGTCTTTCATTTGCTTTCATGCTGTGATATCCTTGCTCCAAGTTTTTTTTGTCCGTCTTACACAAGAAAATGACTCCAAAAATTTAAGGAGCAAATGTATCCATGCCAGGACAAGAAATTTCTCAACCTTTCTCAGGGAAATAACCCAAATGAGGGTTTACATAGACATAACCGTTTCAACTTAATTCGACGAACACTTTTTAATTAGTTCTCGATGCAGTTTAGATATATTAAAATGAAGAAATACTTTGAGAACTATGAATTAACTAATGTACATTGAAAATAATGCGAACAAAAACATTTTGAGTTCGGGTTTGAAAGGGGTTGTAGTGAATAATTTGATGCTGATATTATTTGAAAGCATCCACCTCAAATAGGTGTCCCTGGAACACTAGCTTCTGCTTGGGCGTTCACCTTACTCGTTAAGTCTAGCCTTTTCCAAGCAGGACATTTTTAAGGGTAATATTGTTAGTATCGAAGGCACTTGATGCCAGAATTTAACTGTCTGACCGCACCACAGCTAACTTTTATTTCTTAGGTCCTTCTATTCCTGAAAACACCGACGTTCGTAACAGCGTTCGTCTTATCGTCGGAAGAAGAGGCTTACAGAAGCACTGAGTGGTGAGTCAGACATAATACTTGTATGAAATGGATATCTGAAAAGTGAAAGCAGTTGTACCAAGGAGACCCGACCATTGTCTCACATCTCGCTTCTCTCTTATCATTTTTAGTTTCTGGTGAACAGAGGCAAACTAGGCGGGGCAGGGAAGGGGAGCTGTTTAAAACACTCCCTATCTCTCACCCTTTAAGATTTAAGAAGATTCAGGACTTAATCAGTAAAAAAATCATTGGAAACGAGCATTTTTTTGCCAAACTTTTTTTTCTCCTGCATTTAGGTGGACAAGACTGGAAGTTGCTGGCCGAAAAACTTGGTTTACGCGCTGATGAAATTCGATTTTTAGACTTCCGCGTTAAAGATCCTTGTGAAGGGGCCTTAAACAGAGTTGCTTCCCAGGGTTCCCTTAATGTTGGTGATCTGTACAACTACTTAGTCGAGCTTGGTTATCCTCTAATAGCTGACGAACTGTGAAGCAAAGATACTTATTGTACATCTCAATATCTTAGACTTAATGTGTGTTTTTACATTCTGCTGAAACAATTCTCTAACATTTTAAGAATGTCCATGAAAAAAGGATTAGGCAAACTTCTCGTTTTAGATTAAGCCTTTAAAAACATTCGCTGCATATCTCTTGCCGAGGCACTCATAACCTGCGATGATGCTCTCCTTGGTAGCGTGGAGGGGATTCAATAGTTTGTCAGCGAAAGATTACAGCCGTTTGTTTGCAAACGCGATGTTCTCTTAAGTCATTCTTCATGTACCTAATGCGATATGTGATGCATAATTAAACTAGACTCTGTTGAAAGCGTTAACTTGAGCCTGCTCGAGGAGTATATAATGAAAGAGGGGCGAGTTATTTCCGATTAAAATGTGTTTCTAATTTAGTTCACTATATGCGATACAATATAATTACTGTGTAGTAAAAGATAATATTGCAAATTCATTTCAAGCTTTGACTCTTCTACTGTTCTAGTCTTAAACTGAAACCTTCATAGTAATAAAAAAGTACTCTGCTTTAGCTTCTCCTCGACCACGGTCAACTAAACGGAATAATAAGACCATACAGTATCATACAAGTTTTATTGTCACACTCTTAGCTTTTCAGCTGTGACATTACATAATAAAATGACACACCACCTTATTTACAGGTGTTCACATAATTAAATTATATTTTTAAGTAAATACTATAACATATGAATAAATATTTTAGAATTCACAAAAGCCACTTAGGTCAGGATCATAAAATACAATCTAAAATAACACTAACAATGGCATAAAAATATTGTGAAAAGTAGGGTTAAAATGCCTAGAAAAGGTCAATTTTCTTGAAACCCCTTTTTGAATAATTCCCTACATATTTAAAAGCTGTCACCTCTCTCTGTAAATATGCTTCTAATCTAAGTTAAACCAGAACTTACATCGTACCTGCTCAACTAGAGGCAAAAAAAATGACCTATTATTTTCATCAACTTGAGTTTAAAGCCATTACGCTCGGGCTCATTGTCTCTGAAGCCATCTAAACCTAAATTGACACCTAACTAGCTAGAGAGGGTAATCAGGCAGTCTACAACTTGCAGTTGGAGACAAACTTTCCGAAGAGGATCTTAGCTTTCGATGTTTTCAATAAAATAAGTTTTACGTTTACGTTACCTTAACGTCAACCAGATTACTATTTGAGTACTGACTTTCACGAACCTAAAAAATTCTTAAGACATATACATGGTTCTAGCATATAATTATTTACAAAAGGGGGAAGGGACGGAGGGGTTTATGGGTTCTTGCCGCTTGTTTCAAATAATGAAATAACTTTTGCGCTTCAGTTCTCGAGTTCATTGGGCTACATTTCAATATCGTTATCTTAAAGAACCAGATTGTAAACACGGTCAAACATCCCGGTCATCATGCGGTAAAAATATGTTTTCATGTCGTAAACGACCGACAATTTGGAAACCTCTCTTGTTAAAACGGTCAAAGCGCCCGTCTCCTCCATACGGTAGATTATCACTTCAGCTTCTGCCACATGTTGTAGCTGCTCAGTTATATGTGGTAAAAATCCACCCGGCGGTATCCACTGCGGGTTCACTACCATCTCATCGTCTCTAAAGGAGAAGCTGCCATTTCGTACTAAAGTTTTCATCATCAGTGTCCCATGTTTTGTTCTGCCGTTCATTTGCTCTTCCACGGAAATCCCTGAAAAGTTTAAAATATCCGTTACGCCAACTATCGCTTAAACGTGTTATGTTCAACGAACATGTGACAAGAAAATTGGTTTTCATGAGGTAGATAACATTAAATAACAAATGTAAACGAACTGAGAAACTAGAACCTCTCTGAGATTGGAAGTACATTATTTCAGACAGCATTCAAAAACCGAAACTTGCGTCGGCCTAGGTTAATACTCTCAGAAAAGGAAGGTGCTGTGTATAACATTCACAGTATCTTAAATATGTAAGGACCTCAATCCATCCTCTGGACGAGGAAAAACATTTCACACGAGCTAGACCCCTAAAGCGTTCCAATGCAACAAACATTGTCCTCTATATTTCCTAGCCAATGAAATCATATGAAAATAAAATCGTCAAAATCATCTCTCTTAATATAACTAAACTGAAATATCCATATAATAAAGACTTATTTAAAAATCGATAATTCTGGAAAAATCTAACTACATGTGACGGAGATTTCATCGAAGTATTAATTAAAATAAAGAAAAACTTGTGTCAACTCAAAATAAAAACCAATTTATTAATAGCTTAAGGTAAAATTAAACACATCGATACTCTCAAATAGTTGCTTCATTCCTCACCAGCAAGGTCATCTTTATTTACCACAACATATCCATCGCTGTTTATTGTACCAATATCGCGTAAATGAGAAGTCAACACATTCTTTTTTTGCGTTGCCTTCCTCGAAGCGATTTTTCTGGTACAGTCTTCCGGGACTCTATTCCCGTCATCTTCAAGATCTTTACTCTCTGTGCCCTTCTTTCTTTCTTCTTTTAATTTATCTCCTTTGTCATAATATCCCGCCTCCGACTCTGAAATATTTAATATATCCGTTACGCGAGAAGAAAATTGGTTTTCATGAGGTAGAGAACATTAAATAACAAATGTAAACGTACTGAAGGACTAAAATCTCTCTGAGATAGGAAGTACATTATTTCAGACAGCATTCAAAAACCGAAACTTACGTCGGCCCAGGTTAATACTCTTAGAAAACGAAGATATTGCGTACCTAATTCACACTATCCTGGATATGTGAGGACCTCAATAAATCCGAAAAACATTTCACACAGACTAGACCCCTAACGCATAATAATGGAAGAATATTGTCTTCTATATGTCATGGTTAATAACATCAAATGAAAAAAAAATCGACAAAATCACCTCTCTTAATCGAACTAAATTGAAGCATCCATGAGAAAATAGATAGTTTTAAATCTAACTACATGTGACGGAGATTTCATCGACGTATTCATAAAAATATAGAAAAACTTGTGTCAACTCAAAATAAAACCAACCTATGAAAAAAGAAAAATTAAACGCATCGATATTCTAAATATAGTTACTTCGTTCCTTACCAGTAAGGTGATCCTTATTTACGACAAAGCCATCGCTGTTCATTGTGCCTGTAACGTATGAATGAGAAGTCAACACATCTTTTGTTTCCGTTGCCTTCGACACAGACGTTTGTTTGTTTACTTCTTTCTCCGCTGAACTGTGCGTAATATCCATTGCATGTGGATGATCTGTAAATTGCACATGCTCTTTCGCTCCTGGCTCCTCAGTCACGGGTGTCTTGTGGAGAGTTTCCTGGGGCACTCTTGGCCGATCATTTGGCTTCCTTTCAAACTTCCGTCCTCTCTTACTCGAGTCAAAATAATGCAATAGCGCTTCCTCGTGAATCTTTCGGTAAGTTTTGTTCCACGAAAAGATGAAGCTTTTCCTTCCGTCAAGAAACTCATCTGTAAACTGAGAGGAAACCTTTCTCTTGGCCCAACGCGATATCAGAGATGATTCTTCTTCATCTTGATTCTTGTAGTGATCGTCTCCGCCAATAACAACTATAACCTTTCCGCCTGGTTAAAGGAAAAAAGAACGATTGATCATTCGTTTAGGCTTTTGAAAGTCAACTGCTTAAGTCACGTCGCCGACTCCAATGTAGCTTAAAAGAGAAATGCAGTGTTCATCTTTAAACTACAACTTAAAATTACTTCTGGGAGGAATCTTAACGCGCATCCGTCACCAGTAAATGATATCATGTCTTCGTTAAACATTTCTGGCAAGAACTTAAAATCATTACGAATTTTTTTAGCAACTATAGGCAAAATAGAACTACTGTTTGAAAAACTGACATAAAAGAATACGTCATTGATTTACCAGTGGCTCGGAGTAAGGCTTTATAGATCTTCGCATAACCAATTCCAGCATTTTCCTCGTTTATGGAAAGACAAGGTTCATTCGCATGAACCACGAAAAAGGCAACATCCATCTGTAGTTTAGGAATGGCCTTTCCAGCCACGTGCGACATTTCAGAAAGGCGAAAACTTGTCTTGACGATGTCGAAGCTAAGTTGTTGTCTGATGTCGCCTTTCATGTTAAGAAGCAATTTCTCCACTGAGTCTAAACTGTACAATTTGTCGCAATTAAAAAGAAAGACATGTTTGCGACATTCTGTCCTCGCGTTCTGATGTGGTTCATCATTAATTGTGTCTGAAACACTTCGCTCTAATTCGTTCTGTTCATCCATGTTGACCGCTGTTTACCGTGAAAATAAAAATGTCGTTGTTTCTGAGAAAAATGCATGACGGTAAATAGAACGTCACGCGAACAGATAGGAAGTGCGTGACACCGAGCGGTTTGGTTTCCTTCAGCTCACGTTAACGGTGGCAATAACTAATTTTGTTCATTCCGAGTGATTTAGCTCCGAGTGACTCGATTTTTCTTGGATGTTCGATAACATAATTTTGGAAATTACTTTATACACGACAAACCAAAAGGCAACCTAAATTTCTCAGTTATTCCAACTACTGTTACTTATGCGTTGCATGAAATTAGCATGGGATGTCCGATAGTTGTTTCGATATATTTCAAAGTTTTAACAACGAATCTTACCTAAAAGAGCCTGAATTCTGATTTCTTGGTTGGAAACGGTTCTTTAACTCCTAGGTGCTCCTCAAATGTATCGCCAGTCTCCGACTTCTGTTAATTGCTAACCCATTTTACGATTTGATTGATCTCTTAAAAGTGAAAAAGGTGATCAATCAAATCTAAGTATAATCACTTTTTTATAAAAATATATTTTTTATAATTTTTTTCTTAAAAGTTAAGTTCTTACATGAGGGACAACCTAATTATGGCTTCGGTCACGTAAACGGTAACGGAACCTCTCTATATTAGTTAAGGAAAGGGATTTTTGTGGTGATCGGGCTCATTTTTACCCTCCTAGAATTTCGATACGTGATGCATAATTAAACTAGACGCTGTTGAAAGCGTTAACTTGAGCCTGCTCGAGGAGTATATAAGGAATTGGAACCATTGCAGTCATGAGGCAAAGGGTGAAAGAGTGCCAGGTTCTAGGACCTAATGGCAAAAAAAAGAAATGGTGATATACTCAATTTCCGAAAAAAAGAGATAAATGTATTAATCATAGGAAAGGTCACATAAAGACGAAAATTATGTGTATCTTCACTTTGACGAGAGCCACTTGTCAGGAACTCATTACTCGGAACTCCATATGTGCTTTACGCTTGAGTCAACCCTTTCCTCTTTTAATTTTATTTTTAGCACTGGGTTTCTCGCGAAACTGGAAAGCACATCATAATTCGCATAATTTTCATCCAATCATTCTTCCATGCCTTCCACCAGTAATGTCAGAGATTTAAATTTTTAAAACACGAAATCTTACATGTAAATGAGCACTGTCTTAGCTTTGCTCCGATTGGTTAATTAGTAATACAGTAACAAATATTTTGCGAAAACTATTTCTATAAATAACTTAACATGCACCTTTAAGTTCATACATCTCAGTTATTCCATATATATTTTGAAAGTATTGTACCACTTTGTCCTTCTATGATATATCTAACAGTAGACAAGTTCCTTGAGAATAACTCTTACCAAAAATATCTCTAGCTTGAGAGTCAAATACATCATCAGGAGAGTAAACAAAGACAACAGAAATTAAACTAGTTGTAAAAATTAATGATCTGTATTTTTCTGATGTCAATGACTCAAAAGCTCTTTCAAAGCTTACATACTATTCATATCCCTTAATGTCCTCAATGGTAGCCTCGCCGTGGACTCTACCACTAAAGCTTGCACTGTATTCCAGCTGGTAATAATCTTCTGATTACATATTACACATCTAGGTGGACAAGACTGAAAGTTGCTGGCTTAAACCCTGAGGAAATTCGATATTTAGACTTCCGCCGAAACCACTTTTCTTAAATTTTAAGCATGTCCAGGTAAAAAGAATTCGGCAAACTTCTCGTTTTAGATTAAGCTTTGAAAAAGTTTCGCTGCATATCTTTTGCCAAGGCACTATTAACCTACGATGATGCTCCCTTTAGTAGCGGGGAAGGAGTTCAATATATAGTTTGGCAGCGCAAGATGACAGCCGGTTGTTTGAAAAAGCCATGTTCTCTCGGGTCATTCTTGACTTATCTAATACGATTTTTATCAGAAATAAACACAACATTAAAGGTTCGAAGGCATCAAGTAGCGCTGCAATCCAGGTTCTCTTTCCTAATGTCTCTGTCGACCTCAACTGATACCCTAATCATGGCGGCAGGGATTCCACAATCCTCCTTTGAATTGTCTTCTTCTCACTCTTTACTGATGTATTCCGAGGGACTTGTTACAACAACAGATCACTAGAAGGATGCAATTGAATTATCATTTCCATTATCAACCTCTAGATTGCAGTCTTGCCTAACCATCCTTAAGCTATTGATCCTTCCGGTTCATTATCTCTGCACATCCCTTAGCGATTTGCGAATGAACGCTTCGAGAGACTTAGTGATGCTCTTCGCATCATCTTCGGCGGGCTTCGTACTGACTTGTTCTAACTTCTAACATGTAATCATGCAACCAATTAGAACATGGCTCAAAGTAATTTTTTTTGACAAATTAGACAAAAGTCCGAACTCTAGACAGGCGACAAAAAATTGTGAAAGCCGGACTATTTTTTTCCGCGTCAGTCCCTCGTTGACTCTACGCTGCTACATGTACATTGAGGCCGGAAAGTCCTTTGTGACCTGACACGAAACAGACGCAGGAAATAAAGGAATTTATATATTACACATGATAAAGGAGCAAAATGTTGTACATGGTAATATCGACTTGGCGTTTGTACTTCAAACTTAGTCTTAAACTGAAACATTCATAGTAATAAAAAAGTACTCTGCTTTAGCTTCTCCTCGACCACGGTCAACTAAACGGAATAATAAGACCATAAAATACCTTACAAGTTTTATTGTCACACTCTTAGCTTTTCAGCTGTGACATTACATAATAAAATGACACACCACCTTATTTACAGGTGTTTCACATGAATTAAATTATATTTTTAAGTAGATACTATAACATATGAATAAAAAGTTTAGAATTCACAAAAGCCATTTAAGTCAGGATCATAAAATACAATCTAAAATAATGCTAACAATGGCATAAAAATATTGTGAAAAGTAGGGTTAAAATGCTTAGAAAAGGTCAATTTTCTTGAAACCCCTTTTTTAATAATTCCCTACATATTTAAAAGCTGTCACCTCTCTTTGTAAATATGCTTCTAATCTAAGTTTAACCAGAACTTACATCGTACCTGCTCAACTAGAGGCAAAAAAAAATGACCTATTATTTCCATCAACTTGAGTTTAAAGTCATTAGGCTCCGGCCATTGTCTCTGAAGCCATTTAAACCATTTGGATTTTAGACCTAAATTGACACCTCACTAGCTAGAGAGGGTAATCAGGCAGTCTACAACTTCCAGTTGGAGACAAACTTTCCGAAGAGGATCTTAGCTTTCGATGTTTTCAATAAACTAAGTTTTACGTTTACGTTACCCTAACGTCAACCAGATTACTATTTGAGTACTGACTTTCACCAACCTAAAAAGTTCTGAAGACATATACATGGTTCTAGCATATAATTATTTACAAAAGGGGGAAGGGAGGGAGGGGGTTAAGGGCTCTTGCCGCTTGTTTAAAATGGTGAATTAACTTTTGTGCTTCAGTTCTGGAGTTTATTGAGCTGCCTTTCAATATCGTTATCTTAAAGAAACAGATTGTAGACACGGTCAAACATCCCGGTCATCATGTGCCAAAAATATGTTATCATGTCATAAACGACCGACAAGTTGGAAACCTCTCTTGTAAAAACGATCAAAGCGCCTGTCTCCTCCATACGGTAGATTATCACTTCAGCTTCTGCCATATGTTGTAGCTGCTCAGTTATATGTGGTATAAATCCACCCGGTGGTATCCATTGCGGGTTCACTACCATCTCATCGTCTCTATAGGAGAGGCAGCCATTTCGCACTAAAGATTTCATCATCAGCGTCCCATGTTTTGTTCTGCCGTTCATTTGCTCTTCCTCGGAAATCCCTGAAAAGTTTAAAATATCGCTTACACGTGTTGTGTTCACTAAACATGTGACAAGAAAATTGGTTTTCATGAGGTAGAGAACATTTAATAACAAATGTAGACGAACTGAGAAACTAGAATCTCTTTGAGATTGGAAGTACATTATTTCAGATAGCATTCAAAAACCGAAACTTGCGTCGGCCTAGGTTAATACTCTCAGAAAAGGAAGATGCTGTGTATAACATTCACAGTATCTTAAATATGTAAGGACCTCAATCCACCCTCTGGACGAGGAACAACATTTCACACGAGCTAGACCCCTAAAGTGTTACAATGGAACAAATATTGTCCTCTATATTTCCCAGCCAATGAAATCATATGAAAATAAAATCGTCAAAATCATCTCTCTTAATATAACTAAACTGAAATATCCATAGGATAAAGACTTATTTGAAAATCGATAATTCTCGAAAAATCTAACTACATGTGACGGAGATTTCATTGAAGTATTCATTAAAATAAAGAAAAACTTGTGTCAACTCAAAATAAAAACAAATCTATCAATAGCTTAAGGTAAAATTAAGCACATCGATACTCTCAAATAGTTACTTCATTCCTCACCAGCAAGGTCATCTTTATTTACCACAACATATCCATTGCTGTTTATTGTGCCAATATCGCGTAAATGACAAGTCAACACATCTTTTGTTTCCGTTGCCTTCCTCGAAGCGATTTTTCTGGTACAGTCTTCCGAGAGTCCATTCCCGTTATCTTCAAGATCTTTACTCTCTGTGCCCTTCTTTCTTTCTTCTTTTAATTTATCTCCTTTGTCATAATATCCCGCCTCCGACTCTGAAATATTTAATATATCCGTTAGGCGAGAAGAAAATTGGTTTTCATGAGGTAGAGAACATTAAATAACAAATGTAAACGTACTGAAGGACTTAAATCTCTCTGAGATATGAAGTACATTATTTCAGACAGCATTCAAAAACCGAAACTTACGTCGGCCCAAGTTAATACTCTTAGAAAACGAAGATATTGTGTATATAATTCACACTACCTTGAATATGTGAGGACTTCAATAAATCTGAAAAACAATTCACACAGACTAGACCCCTAACGCATAATAATGGAAGAATATTGTCTTCTATATTTCCTAGTTAATAACATCAAATGAAAAAAAATCGACAAAATCACCTCTCTTAATCGAACTAAATTGAAGCATCCATAAGATAGATACTTACTGGAAAATCAATGGTTCTAGAAAAATCTAACTTCATGTGACGGAGATTTCATCGACGTATTCATAAAAATACAAAAAAACTTGTGTCAACTCAAAATAAAACCAACCCATCAAAAAAGCAAAATTGAACACATCAATATTCTCATATAGTAACTTCATTCCTCACCAGTAAGGTGATCCTTATTTACGACAAAGCCATCGCTGTTCATTGTGCCTGTAACTTGTGAATGAGAAGTCGACACATCTTTTGTTTCTGTTGCCTTCCTCGAAGCGATTTTTCTGATACAGCCTTCCGAGAGTCCATTCCCGTTATCTTCAAGATCTTCACTCTCTGTGCCCTTCTTTCTTTCTTCTTTTAATTTATCTCCTTTGTCATAATACCCCGCCTCCGACACAGACGTTTGTTTGTTTACTTCTTTCTCCGCTGAACTGTGCGTAATGTCCATTGCATGTGGATGATCTGTAAATTGCACATGCTCTTTCGCTCCTGGCTCCTCAGTCACGGGTGTCTTGTGGAGAGTTTCCTGGGGCACTCCTGGCCGATCATTTGGCTTCCAATCAAACTTCTGTCCACTCTTTCTTTCTTCTTTCAATTTATCTTCTTTGTCATAACACCTCATCTCCGACACAGACGATTGTTTGTTTACTTCTTTCTCCGATGAACTGCGTGCTATATCCCTTGCATGTGGATCATCCGTAAATTGCTCGTGCTCTTTCGCTACCGGCTTCACAGTCACGGGTGTCTTGTGAAGAGTTTCCTCAGGCACTCTTGGCTGATCATTTGGCTTCCTTTCAAACTTCTGTCCTCTCTTACTCGAGTCAAAATAATGCAATAGCGCTTCCTCGTGAATCTTTCGGTAAGTTTTGTTCCACGAAAAGATGAAGCTTTTCCTTCCGTCAAGAAACTCATCTGTAAACTGTGAGGAAACTTTTCTCTTGGCCCAACGCGATATCAGAGATGATTCTTCTTCATCTTGATTCTTGTAGTGATCGTCTCCGCCAATAACAACTATAACCTTTCCGCCTGGTTAAAGGAAAAAAGAACGATTAATCATTCGCTGACTGCACAAACAAAAGCTTTTGAGAGTCAATCGCTTAAGTCACGCCACCGACTCCAACGTAGGTTAAAATAGAAATGGAATGGCCGTCTTTTGTTTACAAATTAAAACTGCTTCTAAGAGAAATCTCATCGTGCATCTGTCACCAGTAAATGATATCATGTCTTCCTCAAACATTTCTGGCTCGGACTGTAAAATCATTACGTATTTTTTCAATCACTACTGGCAAAATAGAACTATTGTTTGAAAAAAATAAAAGAATACGTCATTGATTTACCAGTGGCTTGGAGTAAGGCTTTATAGAGCTTCGCATAACCGATTCCAGCATTTTCCTCGTTTATGGAAAGACGAGATTCATTCGCATGAACCACAAAAAAGGCAACATCCATTTGTAGTTTAGGAATGGCCTTTTCAGCCACATGCGACATTTCAGAAAGGCGAAAACTTGTCTTGACGATGTCGAAGCTGAGTTCTTGTCTGATATCGCCTTTCATGTTAAGAAGCAATTTCTCCACCGAGTCTAAACTGTATGTACTGTCGCAATTAAAAAGAAAGACACGTTTGCGACATTCTGTCCTCGCGTTCTGATGTGGTTCATCATCAATTGCGTCTGAAATACTTCGCTCTAATTCGTTCTGTTCATCCATGTTAACCGCTGTTTACCGTGAAAATGAAAATGTCGTTGTTTCTGAGAAAAATGCATGACGGTAAATAGAACGTCACGCGAACAGACAGGAAGTGCGTGACACCGAGCGGTTTGGTTCCTTCAGCTCGCGTAAACGGTGGCATTAACTAATTTTGTTCGTTGCGAGTGATTTATCTCAAGCAGGAAGTTAGTGAGTTAACATTTTATTGTTACAGAAGAAAGCGAACGGACAATCTGGTTGAGATACAAACCACCTACTCTGTCGAATCGTCTCAATTTTGTGGATGTTCGATAACATAATTTTGGAATTTACTTTCTACACGACTAACCTAAAGGCAACCTAAATTTCTCAGTTATTCCAACTACTGCTGTGTTGCATAAAACTTAGCATGGTTTGTCCAAAAGTTGTTTCGATCTCTTTCAAAGTTTGAACAACGAATCTTCCCCGAACTAGCCTAAAATCTGATTTCGTGGTTGGAAATGTTTGTTCAACCCCTGAGTGCTCTCAAGTGTATCGCCAATCTCCGAGCTCTGTTCATTGCTTTTATGCAAGGGAAATCCAATGTATTTTTTAGAATGGTTGAAGCCTTTATAAAATATAACAAAAAAAATCATAAACGAAGAAAAAAATAAATATTGCCCGAAATGTGTAACAAAAGTGCACATTTTACGATTTGATTGATTACTAAACTGTGATAAATGTGATCAATCAAATCTAAATAATCACTTACTTACAAAGGTTTTCTTAAAAATTCAGTTCTTACATGAGGGACAATCTAATTATGGCTTCGGTCACGTAAACGGTAATGGAATCTCTCCATGTTAGTGAAGGAAAGGGATTTTTGTGGTGATCGGGCTCATTGTTTTACCCCTCTAAAATTTCGATATGGGAGACATAATAGAACAAGACGCTGTTGAAAGCGTTAACTTGAGCTTGCTTGAGGAGTATATAAGTAGTAAAGAGCGAGTTATTTTTTCGGTGGTATGCGTGTAGGTATTGGAACCATTGCAGTCATGAGGTAAAGGGTGCCAGTTATTGCAACCAGTTACTGGGACCCAATGGCGAAAAGAAAAAATTGATAAAGTACTCAAGTTCAGAAAAACGTGCTAAATGTAATAATCATAAGAGCTGAAGTCACATAAATAAAAAAATTATGTATACCGAATAACAAATCAGGTAAATCGTTGATAGGCTAAATGCTTGCTCTTTGTGAAAATCATCGGTGCATACAATTTGAGCATGACCAAACAAACAAAGGAACTTCTTACTCGGAACTCCATATGTGCTTTACGCTTGAGTCAACCCTTTCCCTTTTTATTTTGTTTTCATAACTAGATTTCCCGCGAAACATAATTCCCGCATATTATAATTCGCACATATTTCATCCAATAAATCCGATCATTCTTCCATGCTTACACTACTGGTATCAAAGATTCCAATTTTCAAGTCATACATGTAAATGAGCATCGTCTTAGCTCTGCTCCGATTGGTTACTAGTAATAGAGCAACAAATATTCCGCAAAAAACTATTTCTATATACAACTTTATAAAAACCTTTAACCCCACATAATTCAGTCATTCCATATAAATTTTGAAAGTATTGTACTACGTAGTGCTTAGATGATATGGCTAACAGTACACAAGTTCCTTGAGAATGACTTTTACCATAAATATCTCTAGCATGAGTGTCAAACACTTTAAAATGTTCATTATTAGGAGAGTAAACAAAAGCAATTGTTGCCAAAATAAATGATCTGTATTTCTCTGATTTCAATGACTCAAAAACTCTTTTAAAGCCTACACACCACTCATATCCCTTAAATGTCCTCAATGGTGACCTCGCAATGGACTCTACCACTGTATTCCAGTTGGTAATTATCTTCTGATATGAGAGCATTGTTGGTAATTCAGTTAGCAGTAAATACGATTGTCTCGCTAGTTGTAACAAGCTACTGTAACGTTCATTTCAAACATGCATTACTTGTTCTAAGTCACTAGGGTTACTTATTCCTTTCATGTTGTGATATATTCAAGCACACACACTCATTCCAACATAATGTTGTCCTGTACAGTGTGAATTATCTCCAAATACAAAAACATATCTGCCGGACTATGTGGTGCTTTTATTGTTTTACCGGGATTATACCGGGAATTTATTATTCACAGATATTTTTGAAATTAAATGTTTACAAACGCGGCACGAGACATCTTCCCCCCAATTGAAGGAAACAAAATATAACGAATAACATCAGATAATCTAAAATGACAGATGAGGCAGAAAATGAACCAAGCTACAGATGTCAAACAATGAAACTGATCTTCGATTAGCCGTCATGCAAACAGCTTTGAGCACTTATTATCAAAAGCACAAGACAGAATTAATATTACGTAAATGTATTCCTTAAAACCCATGTTTAATAGAACATCCTTACACTATACGAAAAATCTACAGTCTACTTTACCCAGCTATAATTTGAAGATTTGGTCTCAAACGTTTGAAAATGACCATGCTCGTACACAGTAGTCCTTATTTACGTAGTTGTCTTGAAGACCCTTTATGTAGATCATGTTACGGTAGACTTTAGAGATGCTTTTCATTCAAAATTGATCATACTCATATTGTATGCACCGATGATTTTAACTGCATAGAGCGAGCATTTAGCCTACTAACGATTTACCTGATTTGTGATTCGGTAGACGATATGAGTAAGCCGTCTCGTAGCTCAATTATGTACTAGCTTGCTGAATGCAAGGAAATCGCAATTCCTCGTCGGATGTTGAACCTCTTCTCGCCAAACAAAAATATACGTCTTAGCCATGTCTAGGTTGAGTTCTTATCTAATACCGCCTCCATGTCGAGGCAGTTTCTCCACCGGGTAAAAACTGTACGTTTGGTCGCAGTTAAAAAGTAGGACACGTTTGCGACAACCTATCGTCGTTTGCGACATCGCTCTATTTCGCTCTGTCTATCCATGTTTAACAGCTATTTTCTGTGAAACCGGAATAACGTTGTTTCTGAGAAAAATACATGCCGGTAAACAGAACGTCACGCAAACAGACAGGAGGTGCGTGACACCGAGCGGCTTGATTTCCTTAAGAAGGCTCTCTTCCGCTCACAAGACGGTGGCGACAATTAACTTTGTTTATTCCGTGTGATTTATCTTTAGCCGATACTTATTTATGTATTAAGGTACTTTTAGAAAGAAATGCCAGCCAGTGGAACGTCATTGAAACGTCAAACTTCCAGGCAGGGAAGAAACTATTTCTGAGAAATAAGTCCCTAGTCGTAACGTAATAGCGTACTATCTCATCATTTCAGACGATGCTTATCATAAATTCACGGCCACCAAATAAATTGAAGCTAGTGAATTGTACTATATGATCGATGAACTGATTTGGATAATTTTTATTTGAAAAATCATCAGCGGACCTGTCAATTTCCCGAGGATCGAGTTCTACCATAAATTTTACTACAGTTTTCCCGACGTTGAAGCACTAAAGAAGGTCTGAAGCGAATATTTAGCTCAGATTGCAAACTTCGCTGATAACCTTCTAGTGTCGCCGACGTCGGCAAATGCAGATAATTTTCTCCTTAGTTAGGGAAATGATCTTTAAATGTCTTATTCACTATCTACGTTATGTACAACAAAGCAATCTGAGCTAAACTAGAAACGAACGGCCGGAGATCTGGGGTCAACTACGTCATTTCCCAGAATCAAAATCCCACGAAAAGCGTAAAGCGTTGTATCCTGCAGTCAGTTTAGAAGAGAAAGAGTGTTGCAAAACCGTCACCTATTTCAAAATGGGAAGTGAAGAGTCAAAAATTGTGAGTATATGTAAATTTGAATCTAAAGACTTAACTTTAGTAATGATGCATGGGAATTGCCATGGAAGCAGGCAATGCGCCAATTCCAATTACTTTCGAATTCCTCGCGGCGCTTCGAATAAACATTCAATTGATGTTGAAGTTCGCCTTGTTTCCTTTAACAAAACATCAGCTGAGGAGTACGGTTACAAAGATGATGAATCCAAAAACTTCAACATCAATCGCAAGACATTATCGTTATTCCATGGCCACAATGAATTTTCTATTGTCGCTACCTCAAAACATATTAAAGGCGACTTCCGTGAACTTTCTAAGAAAAAACACCTCTGTCAATGTGCTATACTATCAAAAATTGGATCAAAAAATCGATGGGTTTCCTTTCTTCCGAGATGGTAATTGCCGCCGCTCATGAAAACAGCCCCTTGAAGCGAACAGATACAACTTGTCACCGGAACAGGGATTTTAATTCAAGTTTGATAACACATCAACAAAGTAAGCCTCTCTCTCATTCACAAAAGTTTTCAGTAATACACAAGTCTAGAACAAGTCAATTTTAATTTGATACTGACGTATCCTTCCCAATATCTTCCCAGAACAAATAGATGCGGTAGTATTATCTTAGCAAGGAGATTGCCCAGGAACACTAGCCTGTTTTCGTTGAAAATTTTCACATATTTAGAGATCCTGCATATTTACTTATTTTGTTTTACTTCAATAAGGAATACTCAGGAACAGACAGCGTGGATCCGAAAGTGCGCGAACAAGGTCGGCTCAGAGCCCAAGAGGAGCACGAGAGGAAAATGAAAATGTTGCAAGATGAGTTAGAGAGACTGCGTTTGCAAGCGTTGCGTGACGCCGAAGAAATTACTAGAATTGAAGACGAAGAACAAAGAGAGAATTTGGATGTCCAACGACGCGAAGCAGAGAGGTTAGCGAGAGAACTAAAGGAAGAGGAAAAAATGCTCAAATTAAAAGAAACACTGATGAATTACGACTTTCAATGTCGCCCACTTATCAGGAAAGAAGCCTTCCTTGATTTGCAGGTAGACGACATTGAATTAATCCGCATTGCCTTAATCGGGCCAGCAGGTTCCGGAAAGACCAGTTTCATAGGTAAGAATAAAGTTTATTCAGGCAGTATGAGAAGTGCTTTGTTTCATCTTTCATATTGCGATACGTCCAGCCAGGTTCTTGACCAGGATTTTCAGGCCTTACAGTTAACTGTTATTGTTAATTAAAAGTAAACTGGATGTCTTACCCTTCACTTCATAGTAAAACTTACAGCGTTGGAAATTTTAACTCACGATGACTTCGTGATGCGTTACAACTTTACTTTTTTTGTGTCAATTTTCAATGCTTTTGTTTTATTTTGATTTTGGTTTGTTTATTTGCTTTCAAATAGAGCTCACAGAGTTGGATGCGAAAAATAGTAATTATTATCTGTACGTATTCATCCCCAATTCCATCTTCTATCAAAATTTTTACCAGGAACACTACAGCGAGCCATCGGAGAAACTCAAAGCGCTTTCGAACATGGACTTGGAGGAGAAGGTACTATTCTGCTCCATGAATATTACGTGCAAAAATATATTCGGATGCTAGACACGAGGGGATTTTTCGCTCGGGACGAAAAGCTTATGGATGAATGCCTGGACATCCTGACAGGAAGGTAAATAAACATAATTTTATAATCCTGCAGCGGGGAAACGTGTGAAAAGCTTGGCTCCGATGAAAATCGAAGACAAAGCATAACATTTATATAAGATATGTCAAATACTTTAGTCTGCACGCGGTTGGTCTAAGCGCGTTCCACGACCGAATTTGCCCCAGCTACAAGGGGAAAATACCAGCCGATAATATAAGTCTTCTTTTGAAATTTCATTCAAGACGGAAAGCGTTATGCTGTTGTTAAAGAAGCAAGGTCACGCTTGTACTTCCGTGAACATCATATGCTCCTAACTGAGCTTCGCTCTCCGAAAACTGCTTACATCTCGGATCGAACACTGAACCTCCGCAGATAAATATCCGAGATGTAGGCTATTGTTAAAACATGAGACATCAACACTGCAAACCATTAAAATCCTACCCATTACAATTTCCCCAAATGTGATTGGTGCACTGACTGCTTAATTTTTCACTAACCATTTTGTAGAGTTGTAATCGGACAGTATAATCGGATACTTGACTATAAGCGGACACCTGCAATCGGACAGTTGAAAAAGCCAATCAAACTTAGTCCACTCAGCTAAATCCACCAATCACAGAATTGATCACAATAACCATAGCAACAAGTACTTATCCTGGGGAAAAACTGGGGAATTTCCAAAATGGAAAAATATTTACCTTGAGATATTGTTTCTATTGGAGATATTTGCTCTAGATGTATTTCTTTTTTCGAAAATTGTACTGGTTATGATTAATCGGTAACAGGACTTCGTGTCGTGCAATTCTGTCCGTAATCATACTCGTGATTAACGAATCGGACTCCCGCTTCACGGTCGTCCGATTTTGTTGATCACTCGTTTGATTACAGACCGAATTGGACTCCATTCAGTCCTATTACCATTATTTATCATGCAATGCTTTGGAATGAATGATCATGACGATGAAAAAGAATAAACAGTCAATATATTTGGTGCGTGGTTTGGCCAAACATTTCTCAACTAAATCTAAATTCGGGCTTAAACGAAACAGCTGTGGAAACAGTACTCAAGCAACTAAATCTTGACCCCCTTTCCTCTGAAATATCAACCCCTCTTTCTGTCTGTGAGAAACTCAATGCAAATGCGGTTATATGCACATACTGGAAATTTTTTCAGTTTGAATGCTGCATGATCAACTACATTTTTTTCTATCTCCGATTCTCATTCATGGAATTGCCAAACAACCTGCGCTATTGCAGCCTCGAAGGGAAGTTTCGTAAGGGCCCTTAGGTTGCAAAAGTTATATGTGCAAGTTTCCTAAAATTAAATCCTGTGTTGATTCATTTGTGAACAGAATTCGCCCTGGAGAGGAAATTGAGAGAGAACACGAAAAATCTGAAAATCGCTCTAGCGATGGAGGGCAGGACCCGATGAAGACAACAAAGAAGACTTCTCCGCTCTCTAAATGCGTACACGCTGTAATTTTTGTCGTAAAAGGAAACGACCGTCGACTGGAAAAAGGCATTTACACTGAGCCGCTTAGGAAAATCCGGGCTCACTTTCAAAGAAATGGTAGGAGCTCATACAATCATATAATCAGATTATGAAAGCAAAATTTTAATAATAATTCATTACGTAACTTTATGGCAATTATCATGTTTAGTAGAAGTGTCTTGTCGGAGAGGACTGGGGAAAAATCACCGGTAGAAACTGTGCAACTGCAATATATGTGAGGTGCCCCCTCGCGTTGTGCATGGTTTTGTCCAAAAAATAATAATAATTAAAAACAAAACAAAGCAATCTGTCAGCCTTCTCCGCTGACTCAGTCATTATCTACCAGTAGTTTTGTGCAAATTTATTGTGAAGTGCATGTATTTACAAATTCAGACAAACAACGCACTTAGTGCTTGCCACCAAGAAATGTTTAGACAAAAATTGTGTATTGGTAAAATTGTTTTTGCAAGTATGTCATTTTGGTGTTATTAATTTGGGCACCTTTTTGAAAAGGTAATAGCGAAAGTGAAATGTTTCAATGATTTGCTCGCATTTTCGCTCACCTATTTAGTCTATCATGCTACGACCAAAGATTGAGGGTACTTCTGAGACAAACAGGGTAGGAACCTTGATTAATTTGCTATTTTGCAAGTGACATAGATGCATCACACCTCATTTAATTCATACCAGGTCACGCTCCTGTAACCGTAATCACGTGTCTGGACAAGCTGAAAACTGAAGAGGACCAAAGACATGCGTGTTACTTGGCAGCTGGGGTAACTGGCGGTCCAGGAGGAAGCACTCACCTCATTTCTAACTATACAAAAGAAAATAACTGCAGGAGTCTTGCAGTAGAAAGAAGCGCTCTTGACATTTTGGAGTCTGCCTTAATTTCTGCTGAAAGCTTCATACGAGTACACAAGCAGAAAGAGAAAAATCAGATAGAAAGGGAAATAATGGCCTCAGGTACTAAACTAATGCCTACAGTAGGTAGGGAGGTCTGTATCGGGAAAAACTGTGCCCTCTGTCTTAAGCACCGCCCAAGGCCTCAAGACCTCGGCCACAGTTTATCCCAATGAAGACCGACCTAGGCTGGTGAACCAATCAGATTGCAGGATTTCGGAGTTCGTTACTGAACCCCCTGATAAAAAGTAAACAGTTATATCCAGCACTCATGAAGAAAATGGCTTTCATGTTTCCTTTCACAATGCGAAAATATATCTTCATTAGACTATTCCCGCGTCAATTAAATTTGTAACTGGGCGAGCAATGTTTGAAAATAGCGCCTCAATCACACCAAGGTGAAACAAACCTATCTGTTTCCCGTTGAAAGAGACATGTAATGGGTTGTTATACGTTCTTAGGATGGGATCAACCATTAAACAAACAAGCAATCACATTGAAGAGGTAAAGTGAAAACCGACAACAATGACTAAAACAACAACCATTGCTTTCACTTACTCTCTCTCCTATCATTGTTGGGTTTTGCATAGAGGTTTAATAAGCACACACTAATTTCAATGGGAAGATATGTATTTGAAATGCATAAAATTTCATTGCCCAGTGTGCCAAATGAAAATACGCCAATGGTTGTCTACTGTTATTTCCAGCCTACCCTATCCAACTGAATATTTTTAGGAAGAAAATAATAAGATAGCTAGTTGCAATCATTCCACAGAACCAAAAAGTGGAGTGGACAGTGTTGAGAGGTTCTTTGCCCGTCTCATGCAACAACACCACTGGACCGAACAGGGAAAAGTAAATTCTGTACTTGACCACCTGAGAAGACAGGAAATCAACACTGTCATGGTCCTTAAGGAAATGTGGGAAGAAGTCAAGTCGGACCTGCCATTGTCAATGGGCATGAAGAAAATTTTAGAACAGGAGATGGTACGTATTTAAAGTACAACTTTAACAAAAGAGCCAAACGTACTTATTTCATCTTTTGTTAAGCGATAAAATTGAGGCACATAGGTAGGTAGATAATCTTTATTTACCCACGGACAATTCATCAGCCATAAAAACATTCAAACATATAAACATGCATTAAATGGATAAGATACAATAAAAACTATACTTAAAGCACAAACCTAACTAAAGCTGCTTTCCAAGAAAGCCGTGCCTGAACGTACTTCTTTAATTAAACGCTTAAATAACCCAAGGGACTCTGCTTGTCTTATGTCACGAGGAAGTCTAATCCAAAGAGTGGTGCCACTATAGCTAAAGATATTTTTGTAATAGTTTGTGCGCGGCAAAGGAACATTAAGCTTATTACATCTTATTTAGAAGCAGTATAAGAGCTTCATTACTTTGGTGTTGGGAATATGAATGGAAATAACATATTGGCAAAAACCACTCAGTTGACAAAAATATTGTAAGCAGTTGATAATTTCCTATTTCAATGGCGCTTTTTCTTTGTAAGTAGAGTAATTGTTACCTTTTTTCTGAGAGAAACTATTCCATTTAAATCCACAAAAGTTTGTACTAAGCTGTTTGTGATTGAGGCATATTAGCCAATCGCGAGTTCGACATGAAAGCGGATGTACAATTCTACGGTGATTAAAACTCGGCGTGAGGTATTTCAATTATCTTGCAGTAAGATATATTTTAATTAAGATATCTGCTTGATGAATAAGAGAGTAATTTGATCTGAAAAAAATTAATCTCGTAGCGGAATTCCTGGAAATTGCTACTTTTTACACTTTTGGTTCTTTTCAGGCTCGTTTTTTAGTTCAATTTCATGTCGAATTCTCAGTCAAGAAAGCACATCTCAATTATTAATTTAGCACGTAAAACACTTCTTTCTTTAAGGAGATGGAGATGTATACAACTTGTACCTATCGTCTTCCGCACTGAATCTATTAGCAAATGACTCATATGAACGGTAAATAGTTCTCTTGGGGGCCGTACTTGGGGTAAGCCTTTTCCTCCTCGTATTCCCTGTTTATTCTGTTGTTATGTTACAAACTTCGAGGGTTATTATTAGCTTTGCTGAAAGTAATGAATGAGGTACTGTGGTGAAGCAGATGTTGACGGATGTTGTCGACCGTGGACGGAAGTTATCTAACGTGGACGGAAGTTGTATTCCGTAGACGGAAGTTGCATTGTGGACCGTGAACGGAAGTAGTCTCGCATGCTTTTTAACCGATATGTATTCATTTTGTTGACCAAAATGCGGACCAAGACCAAAACTGTTCACGGGTGTACACGCACTGATTTTCATATGTGTTCCTTATATTGTTATTGGCTTACATGAGGAACTGGCGATTTTGATAGGGAAAAGCGAAGTGTTGCTTTCGTGACTGGTCATTTATTTACTTTTCTGGTGGTTTTATTTCTCATTTTTTCGGTGACTACGCAAATATCAATATGTGAAAATCAGACTACATGAAGGCTTGAAATACTATTAAGAACGATTGGGGCCGCTTTGTTAAAAACAAAATGCGATAGTCGCTTTGTTTAAAACAAAAGATATCATGAAACGGGCAAGGAATATTTCACAATAGTGCAAATGATCGTGAAAGATGAGGGTTATTAATATTTTGCTTCTAGAGCAACATTTGACGCCTGATTATACCCACCCAGCCCACCCTCCTCCCACAAACACACCCACACACACCGACAAAAAGGACACTGTCTGCCTAATGACCCCTGCCCATCCCACCTCCAGCCCACACAACTTTTTTTCTAATTCCCATCACGACGAATACACAAGTTTTGTTATCACACAACTACCAAAAGATAAAAGAAAATTTATTCCATAATTCTTGAAAGTTCACATAAACCGTAGTCAACCGTACCTATAATCAACAAGTCCAAGAAATCAATACAAACTTAAGCCATAACATGAATAAGCTGGCTTCAAGAGCCCTTTGATCTTCTCTTTAGTTATCTTTTTAATTGAAATTCTAATCCACGCAACGGTTTCTTTATCATGTTCATGTTCTGTGGGCCTGCCTATACTAGGGGCAATTCGCGAATGAAGCTCAAAAATCAGATATTGCATAATTTGGCGATATTTACATCTAATGTTCTCAACAACAAATGTTTCAGACAAATGAAACATGCAAGGCTTTGAAAGAATGTTATCTTATGAGCAATATCCCGAAGAGAAATCTCGCCTCTGGTTGTCATCTTTTAAAAAAACAATTGATCAACCTTCATGGAGGACTACTCGACGTAACTACAAACATATACCTCAAATCTTGTGCATATCATCCAGACTCCGAGTGCTGCACCTGTTCTTAAATTAGTTTGTATTATGTGATCTAGCTTTTCGAGGGCCCACCAGAGAAAACTATCTTTCCGGGTGAGTTCTCTTGTAAATAAAAGTAGCTTTCAATATTTGTGGGATTTCAAGAATGTACCCAAGAAAGTCTCAACAAATTAAGGGAAAGTCATCAATTTTTAAAATTTAACAAACTATTGAAATGCAAGCGCACAAACACGCATGCGTAAGTTACTGGCCATGTTACTGCTCCGTCCGTTTCATTTCTTTGCGCATGCTAAGTTACTGGCTGCGTTACTGTTCCTTCCGTTTCGCTTCGCTGAAAATGTGTTGAGCTCCATGCGTACGAAACTTTACTCCAAAGATTGCTTGAATACTGGAGTATATGTCATTTCTGTCATAAGCTTGTATCCCTTATGAATCCTTACATATATTTGAAAAAATATTTCCAAGATAACAAAGTTGTTCACACGTTACTACATATCCAGGAGGATGGAATTCCAAGCACAACCCTTTATTGTTGGCGAATCTGCGTGCTGTGTCGGAAACCCCTTGAAATCAGACGGCCTCTAGCGTTCTGATATAGTTAGAAGGAATTCTTTGCGGGGGAAATAATGGTGATCACGCCACAACAAGTCAACAGCACAAATAATAAACACTCCAAAAGGTTTACTTTTGGCAAACTACATCGAAAAGTCTAATTCATTTCAGATATGCGTAATATCTTAAAAGCTTTCCTCAAAGAGGCAAGAAATGAATTTTTTTTCTCCAGAAGATCAACCAAGCCTTAGTTCGCTTTCAAACGTAAACCGCTGTGACCGATGGCAAGCGCTTATTTAATCATGATTTTGAGAACTGAGTGCAACCATTGAAATGCAAACGTTACTTAATTAAAAATCTGTGAATAGCTTCATTCATTTCCTCAGAGAACAACATTACTCTTTTCGAATTTCGCGCTTCATGTAACTTTTGGTACTTAAGTAAGTATCTCTCATATACGATTAGTTTACCTTTACATTTAAAACATCAGATTCATCAGACATTAACTGTATTGAAATACTATGAGGTAAGAATCTAAATTTCATCGACGCAATAACTTTTCAAAGAAGCATATTTCGCTTTGAAACTTCTAGGTCCTTTCATTAACTTTATAGCCAACAAAAATGAATCAGAAATTCTTAAAGCAGTGATACTCCATCTCCACTATGTCATTTTACTTAAATGGATATACCAGTCCTTTACCAAACATTACCCAAATCTTACTATATCGAGTACTCTATAAAACGCCTTGAGCAAGTTTTCCTTATATCACAAATTATAACCATTACAATTTCTTCGAATGTGATCGGTGGATGAACTCCTTTATTTCTTACTAATAAATCTGTAGAGTTGTACTTGGACAGTGTGATCGATCAAATTGGTATACTCAAATGAATCCATCGATCACTGAATTGATTCGAATAACCATGGCAATGGCTTACCATCCCAAGCTGGAGACACTATGTTTAGAGCTTTTCAATGTTCCTCTCCATGAGGTAATGTGTTTCAAAATAAGAATAACGAGCCCCTCTTTCAATTAATCCACTTTATTTTTCTCGGAAATTGCAATGGTTAGGATTACTTGGCAACAAGACCTAGTGTCGTCTAATTCGGTCCGTGATCATATCTGTGATAAACAAAGCGGAGTCCCGCTTTGCGGTGGTTCAATTTTGTTAATCTCGCGTACGACTAACGATGACCGAATAGCAATGGGCAAATGGTTGGCAGTCCTATGTCTAACAGACAAGGCATAGAACCGAACGAAAAACTCCTCAAAAGTATAATACATAAAGCTAGAGTCCCTAATATTACCAAGTGTATCAGTTCTAAAGCCTTCTAGCGGATCCCCAGCATAATAATGAAGGGTTTTAAACCTCACTTCCTAGTTTTTTTTTTTTCTTTTTTTTTTTCTTTTTGGGCGAAACAAAGATATAAGCCCAAACATTCAGGCATATAGGGTCCTTGAAGAACTCAGAATGACCGTTACCTAAAATCAAAAATATGCTGAGGTCAGACAATCCTCCTACAAAAGATCAGCCAACATAGGAAGGTCACGTTCATTCAACAATTCGTACAGCTCACCCACGCTTACGAAGCGCTGTTTAGTTATAAAAGCTAAAGCTGCTTCCATTGGGTCCAGTGTACGCTTGTCAAGAAAACGAATCTCTGCTGGAGTCAGTCCCAGTCCTTCAGCAATCTCCATCCACTCATCGCCACCTAAATCAAAGGGGTTTTTCATCTGTTTGTTTGCTTGATTCTTTTCATGTTCTTATAACAATATTCTGAATACGTATCAAGAATTAGAAATTGCATAAAATAATATTTTTTTCAACCAAATGTGACCTGATCAGGTGAACGCACGGGCAAGGTAAAATGGCACCCTAACAATAGGCAGTGCGTGGTGGCTTCAGAGTGGCGTGTCCGATGGCAAGACTTTGTAAAAATTTTTCCTTTGTGGAAAGAGCACGACAAAAATAAAGGTGCGCGTCAACAAGAACAATACGCAGTTTAAGTTAGCGAAAAGGCACGGCAGCGAGTGAAATGGCACCCAGTTAAAGTGAGCAAAATGACACACTAACTGTGTCCGCCTATGAATAACTATGATAAACAGCCTCTGAAGATACATAAAAGATTTTCAATTAAGTCTATTATAAAAAGAAGTGTAAACTTGGAATTTAATTTTAGAACTGACATTTCAAATTAAAAATGCACATGAATTAAAATATAGTTGTGCTTGCAAGAAATTTCTCCCAAAACTATTTGTGAAATAAATCGCAAAGCTTACCAGATAAGCGGATTGTAAGGTCCCTCGCTTTAATGATTGGCATGTCTTGAACAGGAAGGTTTTCAGGAAGTAAAGGACCTAATAATGGAAAAAGAAACCTTTTGTTAATATAGGAAGATAAATAGTTGAAAAGTCATCAGAAATATACATGAAAATTTGTTTTAGCGTAAACAGACACCTTGAACCCACTACTGGTCAGTCTTTCTTTGGGACACGGCTAGTAAGTCTGCAAACGCATAATAAAGAGACATCAAAAATGTAGTTCGTCAGGTCAAACATCCGCTTCAAATAAAAAATTTGTAAGAGTTTATGTTTTCTTCGTGATTTTGATTTGATTTCTGCAGCACTCTCACGTATCCCATAGTTTCATGGCAGATAGGTTTCGCGAGATAAGTAACTAACCAGCAGTTCCAGCCGGTGCAATCTCTCTTAAATGTTCGAAGACATCAAGCCTCTTTAAATCTTTTGCTTTCTGTGCCAGACTACGGATTATTTTCTTAGTGTCATGGTCTGGCCTCTCAAAAACGTCTTTGTTCAATTGCAGGTTCTCCTTCAGTTGATGAACAATCTCTTTGGCGTCGCACGACGCTGACAGGAGGGATTGTTCAACATTATCAGGTAGGCAAATTTCGGTGGTTGCTTAGAAAAAACAAAAGGAAAAGATCAGTCATAAATCAATGATAATTAAAATAGAAGTTTTCACAGCATACGCTCTTCGGAAATTATTGACGACTGCTGCAGAGATTTTCAGCACATTAGTAATTACACAATATCCTAAGACGATACCAGCAAAGTTACACGAATATAGCTCAGAACCTTTCTATATCATTTATTCTTATTATGCTTGAATAAAATATCGAATATTTTTAGCTGTTATATTCATATAAAAAAAAAAGTCCCAAAGGGGAAATATGAGATGCAGTCACCGGTAGTTTTACCCAGATTAGGCAACATTTCACCACTTTTGGACTCAAAATCCGGGGTATCAGGACAGGCTCCCTCCAGCTGCAGACTCCCCTTTAATTGCGGCGAAATAGTTTGGTCGTCTTGCTGCTGTGTGAAACGGATTTGTAGAACCTCGTCGGCAGAAAAAGTTTCCTCATCGTCTTAAAACAAATAAAAGATGACAATTTCTTAGCCATGCACTATTTGCTTCTTCTGGTACGTCAATGAAATGTATTTTTCAAACAAAATGAATTTTTTTTCTTTCCGTTATCTAGAGAGAACCACCAAAAAACTTATACACTAATGTTACCTTCAACTGATGCTAAGTTTCCACAGTCACATTTATCAATAGTCAGCTGTTGGAAAGAAAGAAGGAGAATTAAACATCATCATGGAAATGCAACATTTCTGAACTGTTGTACGTTTAATGAGAAATATTTTGCTTGATATTCATTACAATAGTTACCTTAGGCAAGTGTGATAGGGTGATTACTTGGCTTACTTTAAGGAAACATAGCATATTTCAGATCTCTTAACAGTTACAACTGAACCCAACCACAAGTGCCTTTATCATCTCTATGGACCCGACTTTTGCTGCTTTCAGTAAGCGTTCGTGGTCTCATCTCATCTTTTGATGACAAATACAACGTTTCCAAGTTTTCTGTTGATCTTTGCAAAAAGGAAGTCACCTCCGAAAACGGTCACATGTTATCTACAATTATTTACCTGATTTCTCATAGGAGAAAACCAAGGCTCGAAGTCTTTCACCAACACTCTGTTCGTCGTGGCAACTGCAGATCTGGTGCAAGCTATGATCTTCTTTCCGCTGCACAACTCTGACTCGGGCCAGAAGTGCAAGCATTCTTCTTGCTTGCAGCCTTTTGTACGATGTGTGCAGTAGTAGCTGACGACACCTCCTTGACAACAAACAGGGCACAAGAAACTCACTTCATATTTCATATTCTGTAGCCAACAGAATTCCCTTCGCATGGACCCAAGTATGAATTCGAGTTGCCTCAGTACTGCACAAGCAAAGGGGTCATGGTTACTATTTACAGGCGAACTAATCGCAGACTTAGAAGGTTGTGCCACCTCGTCACCGCCATTGCCTCTATGAACAACGACTTCAATTGATGACATATGGCACAGAAGGATTACGGAGCAATTAACTTCTTCAGAACGATAAATTCTGACAAAATTGTGGTATAGCTGAGGTTGCTCTGGGCTGGCACATTCTTGTTTGCACCACTGTAAAACCTGCAGCACCAATCGGGGAAACAAGCCAGGTGGAACTTGTCCAGTCTCAAATTTAAGAAAAAGAGAGGGAATTTCTGCAGATGCAATCAGCTCCATTATTTCCTCGGGTGGGTGTGACATTAACATGGAAGGCACTAGGTACTGCTTACCACGTGAGCCATCCGAAGAAGGCCAAGAGCAAAGTAAACTGAACTTCTCCATGATAGCAATGAGACTTTGGCAAGTATCCTCTTTGCGATATAAAGGACCCCAAACATGTTCTAAAAGAGGCTCCTCCAAGACTCCTTCTTTTTCAAGCCTAGACCAGAGCTCTTTGAATTTTTTCTCCTTGTTGTCAAATGGCCGAATGGTAATAACCTCCTTAAAAACATTGATCAACCACTGAGTGTCCAAGACTACCATTTTACGCAGCTCTTTAGTGTCATCAAAGTGTATTAAAACTCTTTGATCATGCAAAAAATTTAGTAAAGTTCTAAATTCTTCTTCGTCAGAAACGTTACACACCTCCCAAGCAACTTCTTTTGTCTCTTCAAGAGAAATCCACTTGTTGCCCTCATCTTTCTTGGCTTGTATTTCTTTTTCAAACTTAAGCCACTTGATTGGAACTGCTTCCTTCATGTGAGGTAGCTCCTTAGCGACGGCACGTATTTCCTGGCGCAGGCGCAAGACTTCTGGACATTCCAATTCATAGCCAGACTTGGTATTATCCACAACAAAGACATCATGTAGGTGGATCTTGTAAGGTTTGGTCTGTAGGTAACCAAATACCATCCTGCCGAGCTCACGAGGATCTTCTCCATCACAAGGTTTGTCAGCGTGAGTGCAAACTAAAAACACCGGTGGAAGTTCAGGCAACAAGTCAGATTTCGTCTTTTTAGAGTTACTTTTGTCCTGAATGGCGAGAGATGCAACAGATGACATCCAAAAATCAAGATAATCGGCATTCGTTTTCAAACGAAAGCTGTCCTGTAATTTCGTGAACATTCCTTGCTTCATAACTGATTTTGCTTTATCGTGCAGGTGCCGGCTGAGGTCATTCACCAAAATGTATATTGCCCTCGACGTAAGGAAGAGTGGGTGGGTATTGTAGTAAACTGTCTGTCCGCCAAAATCCCACAAAACGGAATATATATCCTCTTCGCGTTCTAAGTCATTATCATCTCGCAAGAAAACTTCAACTAAACTTGCAACATCATCTGGCACAGTTCGGATATCGCCAGTAGGGCTTTGATTGCTGATTGTGTGATCGCGTGACACAGAGATGGAATCCGAACCCCCAGGTAAGTTCTCACCCTCAGAGTAGGAAACGGAGTCATGGCTGATTGTGTTAGTTGCTACTGAAGCTGCAGGTATGGGATATATGTCCCCTTCAAATTGTGAACAGCTATCTACCATATTCTCATCTCGTGCACATGATGAAATGATATCTTCGCGCTCGCTTATCTTGACTGACTCCACCGGCACAAGGTGTTCAATCAGATCAGATTCTAGACTCTCTTCTTCGAGAGCGCTTTCTTCCTCACTCAAAGTTTGGACGATCAAGCGCGCTGCATGATGCTCATAAGAACATGCCCTCTCAAATTTTTTTCGTTGGTCTTTCTCTCCTGGTTTCCAAACCTCAGTTGACACTTTGAAATGAGAAGGATCAACGTCTATGCCTATGGTGCTGTCCTCCTCCGAGTTGAATCGCTCTCCTTTGAGAGATTTCGCTAAGCTGGTTTTTCCGGAGCGGTCCTGTCCAATTAACATGATTGGCACGCGTTTGATACATGTCCTCCCCTCTGACAGGGCCTTTTTGTAGGCCCTTAAAGCCAAACTTCCACGTGCACGAATCTCTCGAGGCACCTCGTCTATTTGTATGAATAACTTTGGATTAACGCACATTTCAAAAAACGATAAGCCTTACCTTATTCAAGTTACAATATTACTTTAACTTAGTATGGTAAAACACTGGCAAATACCTGAAAATTCTTGGAATGAAAAAAAGTTAATCGATCAAATGTATTGGTAACATAGCTATAATGAACTCGGAACCACTAAGCGGCAAATGGGGTACAAAACATCAAACTTGACACCGTGATCTGAAGAAAGCAATGATGAAGTGATGAATACGCTCAATAAATCTAAGAAAAAATGACTTATCACTGCCAGACTGCTAAAGAAAGAGGCAAAAAAATATATCTGATGCTTGTGCGGAAAGTTTTTACATTGCAAAAGAGATTTCAGTTTCATGGGAATATCTATGGCACAGTTATACTACATGAGATTACGTACCAAAAAAAAAATTTGGCCAACAATTCACAAATCTCTTTGAAATTCGGACGTTCCATTAGATCAATATCCCAGCAGTTGCTCATCATACCATAGATGACGGCATTACATCCTATAGGACATTCCATTCGATACCCGCTTTCGATCTTGTCGACTAATTGGTCTGCGGGCTTAAACAAGAACCCAATTAATTTAATTTGAACTCCCATGGAAATAACCTTCAAGCAACCATTGCTAACCACTTGCATTCCAATTTTTACTTTTCTAAATAAATCCATACTAAAAAAAAAATACAACAATAAACCTTCCATTTGTCTATTTCTTTGAACTGTTTGGACTTTGAGCTTTGAGCTTTGAACTTACAAGAATGACTTAGATTTTCTTTCCTGTTTCGTAATATTGGGGTTTTGTAACGTCAATTGAAATGCAAATGAAAACAAACTACACGATTCGAAATCAAAAGTTTTAACGTTACCAACTACGAGAAAGCATAATGACCTTTGAAGGTGATCATATCTATTGATCAAACTCAACACTAACCAGGTCGGAATACGGATTTTCACCAAACGAAAAAAGCACCCATAACAAGACGCCATAACTCCATACATCGGACTGGGAGGAAAATTCCTGCAGATAAAACCAAAACCAACAAATCTGGATTAACTATTCGCTGATACCTGGTTTCCAGTTATGATATGCGCGCTTTGTTTATATAGCAAGATCTTCAAAAGGATAATTGTTATGTACGACCTAACGTCCGATAGCAAACATATCATGAAACTTTTCTCCGTGACGGACGAAAAGATATCCATCTCTATAAAACATTATAAATTATTGCAAACAAAAAATAAAATAACAACAAAAACAACAACAGAATTATTGATTCAGAACAAATGTATCTTTCGTTATTCTTTAAATTGTGCTACTTGGGCAATTAATCGAAAAGTACGCCGTACCCCCCGCCTGATTGCCTCTGGAGCTGTCCACTTGTCAGAAGTATTTTTCCGCTCAGAGCTTAAAGATGGCATCTGTGCAAGTCCAAACTCTGACACCTAACAGAGAAAGAAAGACGACAAAACATTGATAGCATTCGTGCATATGCAGGAATTCTTGAAAAGTGACCCACACTGCTTCACAATTTTGTGGCTTCGTCTGAGTTGATCAGTTTGAAGCTGTTAGATTACAGAAAGTAAATAAACCATAGCTCTCAAAGCCTCTCTGGGCAGAAGACAACTTCGGTGATCTGACGTTTAAAAGTAACTTGTGGAGTCCGAACAATGTTTAACTCTGATGATTTTAGATATATGAAATTCATATATTTGCACTGCGGTGAAGAAACGAAATTAAGAGATCCTCGCAGCTAAGAACACTACTGAACTCGTAGTTGAAAATAGGACCTGAGAAAAAATCAGGCCTGTACGGGATTTGAACCCATGACCTCTGCGATACCGGTGCAGCGCTCTACCAACGGAGCTATCAAGCCAACTGGATGGTTTATTTGGACCCAACAAATTGACCAGCTCCCAGTTGGCTTTTTAGCTCAGTTGGTAGAGCGCTGTACCAGTATCGCAGAGTTCATGGGTTCAAATTCCGTACGGGCCTGAATTTTTTCAGGTCCTATTTTCAACTACTAGTCCAGTAGTGTTCTTAGCTGCTAGGATCTCCTAATTTCGAATGTTTTACTCTCTTAATCCTATCACAGAATAAATGGCTGTTGTGGAAGTCAAGCTATTTCCTCATCTTATATAACAGTATAGCTCCACGTTGGCTGACATATAACTGACAATACTCAATCAAGCAAAATAAAGGAGGACTGAAAAAGCTGTAACCAACTATGCCCGAGATACTTGTTTTCATATTTGGAAGTTTTATAACCTATTAATAACCCTACTTTTGCTGTTCCATCTTCGTGGATTAGAATATTCCTCGCCATTAACCCCCTGGAGTAAAAATATATAAATATTAAAAAGAGGCGATAGTTAGGATGCGAAGAGCTGCAAATATTGATAGAATATCCCAGTTTATTTGAGTCTGAGCAAAACAAAAACTCTTTAGCTCAGAATTTTAATCATTTGGGCTGTAGGTTGTATCACTGGTGAGACGATTCGTAATGTTTCTAAGCACTTTCTCTTCTCGAAGATATCGTTTGCGTATTGCATTATTTCTACTTTAAGTTTCTTAAATGATCAATTCAAAGACAACACAGTTTTAGTTAGGAGAGTTTTGTTGAGGGTGTAGTAAATCAATAAAATTTGGTGTTGAAGGCCACTTGTGATGTTTTGATAGGTTTTCAAGGTTTGATAGGTTTTCACTTATGCTCATAAATCCTGAAAAGCACCTGGTTCGTTTAATTTCCCGGACTTCTGTTCAATTCAACAAACAGATTTCATGTTGCCCTAAGTCTGTCCAGTTATAGATCACAGATGAGGTCAAAATGTGGCAAGAACGAAAACGTGGCACACAGGCGCATCTGAGTGTGTCATTAATGTTCTTACCACATTTTGGCGTCTTCTGTGATCCATTAGAACCACGACAACACAGAATATTTTTGCTTTATACGATACCATGGGAAAATGCTGTTAATGGTGACGTCACCTTTTCATCTGTCCTCCAAAAGATCACAAGTGAGAACCAATCAAAATAGGTATACGATTCAATTGTGTCTCTTATTTCCCTTTCAACTAAGAATCCAAACTCCCCACAATTTGTCATCATGTGTCATCTTTTCATGCCTCAGTGTTCTAAACATTTGTTGCGAGAAATTTTACCTGTGAACCACATCTTTGGAGTGTAAATACCTCATACCATCAGCTACATCCCTGCGAAACAGGAGGTTTTTATAATTTAATTTTGATGCAAAAAAACTGAGAGATAATTTTAATTGAAACTTGCCATTGGGCCACTTTCACGAGTAACTTTTTTGCTTTTTAACCCTTTCACCCACGTGAGTGACCGAGAGAGAATTTCTCCTCACAGTGTCAATGCGATATTAAGCAGATAAGTGATGAGAATAAAGAAAAATAGCAATTAGAGGATTTCTAGCCGATCCAATGCCTAATTCTCCAAACTAATATCGTAAGAATCGCATGGCAGATAGTAAGGAGAATTACTGATGAGATCTTGGGAGTGAAAGGGTAAATGCATACAGAATAAAGGTCGCTTTGTGGTCTCTCTTGTTCTGCAATTTTGAGTTGACATAAATCACTTCCCCAAAATAGATTTTGTTTGCTTGTTTTTTTTTTTTTTTTTTTTTGTTTTGAGCAAGCTTTCAGAGCAAGACATATAGCTAACACTTAATATTTTCATCACTGATAAGGAATAAACAGCTACTTTGCTCACCGCAAAGAATCTTTTGTTCTCCGCAAAAAGAGACATTTATTCAAAAAAAGGGAAATAAAAAAACAAAAAATAAACAAACAAAACACTATTAGTACAGTTGCGGACACATCAGCCCTTGATTTGATCCTCCACACAGGAAAAGACGCCTTATAATCAAATCATTTGCTCGTGACATTTGGAGTAACCATAGATAGTAAATATGAAAAAAAAATTAATCTAGCCTCTCAATAAATGTTCAGTGAGGTCAATTTCCTTACGCAGCAAGTCCCACAAGATCATCTTCCTGGAGTGTACCTGTGCCTCTTCTCGACAAGAATTCCAATAAATTTCCCTAGAAAAAAAGGTGGAAAATATTTACCATACTTCAAAGGGAACACTAGTCCAAAAATGATAAGTAATATAATCAGATGAAAAAAACCTCAGTTAACTGACTGGATAGCCGGCTCTGTATGGCTTTTGGTCCGATAGCACATTTCATCCTTTCAGAAACATCATATTGGACCTCTCTTTATTGCTTGAAAGAGCGTGCATTATAAGAGTATGGAGCATAGAGCTGAGCAAAAGCTGTCACGCCATCTGCCAAATTGTATTGCATGTGTTCGACCGTTACTGAGACTCCGTGCAAGCTTTTTTTCGATAATTGAAAATGGAATTTCGGAACAAGCAAGCCGGCAAGTAGCAACAGAAGAACCAAAACAAATTTTGTAAACATACCAGGCGCCGTAAGTTACGTTATCAAAACGTGAACAGAGACGAAAATCCTCAAAGGGAAAACAAAATAGAGAGTCCGAGTTTTAAAGGTTTTGACGCTCAGTTAGATTGTAAGCTGACATATGGTAATAAAAATGAAACACAGCTAACACTCGTACAGTATATAAAGTTTTCTATTCAAAAACAAAACAGAACAAAACAGGAATGATGAAAAATATAGTCTAACTGGCATAACTGTTAAAATTCATACTAATCATGACGGTGTCAGAGCGAATGTGATCATGCTGAGGTCCATCGCGGCTAGCTTATCACGGTGATCTCCGGTCATCACAGTGAAGCAAGCCACAGAAACTACATCGGCCGCCCTTCGAGTGAAAAAATAAGAGCTTGCTAATATCCTTTCTGATGTGTTGAGTGGAAAGCCACAT